TATTTGCTCTAATCTTACGGAGGAAAGTTTACTGAGGAGTTACTGCAAGAGACTTTGATTGAAAGCACAAGACCCTGCGCTCTCATGAGATTTAGTGAAGTTTAATATTTCTATGAGATACGAGTCAGCTTTCTATATGTGAACGCATCGGATTTGATTCACTTTACAATTTATGTGCAATTGTCAGTGATGAATCTCATTACATAGACAACTAGTTACGCATCCACACATTTTACAATTTCAAAATCATATTTGTTTTCATTTTTCAACAGAGCAATCGCAAACAATTGATAGCAATAAAATATTTATCGCTGGTCTACCAACTAATATGTCTGAACAAGTTCTGTTCGATAAACTTTGCGATGTATTTTTAACTGTTGGTAAAATTAAAGTAACTAAAAGAAAATTCCTCCGAAACGGGTTCTGTATTAAATTCTTTCGTTTTTAGATTAACAGAATAACAGACAAACCATGGATAAATTTACTAAGACAAAAAGGTAACAAATCTGAACTTTCTGGTATGGCATCCGTCACGTTCGAAGAAGAAGAATCAGTGATCAAAGCAATTAAAAAATATAATCGTTAGCTAGATTGAATTTTCACAATGACGAGAAGAATACAGTTATCTTTTATGTTTCAGAGCAATGCATACCGACATTCAATAATGCACGAATTTATGTCCAAAAACATAAAGCGAAACATGAAACACCAATACCGCTTGCTACTCGCATGCCACCCAAGCCATTATCACCAGTAAGAGCAGGTAATGAAGAGTCACGGAACACAAAAGAATTTCGCTTCAATCTTGAGTTGAAAACTTCCTTGTGCAATGATTTCTTGAATAGATGGGCAAGTTTTACTGTTTAGATTTTAAGGAGAAATACAAAAAATTAGATTGAACCCTAGACGCGGAGCTTCATAAGACTTGATAAGAGCGAAAAATAATACTGACTGTAATAGCTTTTCAAGAAATCGTTCAGTTTTTCAGTGCCCACTGTTTCTTTTCAAAAAGGATTTTTTGTGGATCATAAAAGATTATCTTTAAAAGTATGTTCAAGTACAATTCTAAGAGCTTCTGATTGAGATCTTCGCTTGGTTGTGCACTTGATCTCTGTAAATACAAAACTTGCTTTCGTTATGCTCTATATTGTAATAGGCCCTAATCAACCCGATGGACCAGTAAACATATTTTGGGATATAGAAAATGTAGCTATTCCTGCGGGACACAATGGCTTTAAAATTGCCCTGAATCTACAAAAAACGCTGATTACCGATCGGTATCGAGCGAGGGGCATTTTTATGGTTTACTGTAATACTATGACCATATCTGAAGAGCATCAAAAAGGCCTCGCGAATGCCGGTGTAAAAATTCAGCACGTTCCAAGCTCGAAGACTGGAGCTGTAGATCAACATATTCTTATGGCTCTGCAAGAATTCGGTGTACAACATAAAGAATCTTGTACAATGGTTCTAATAAGTGGAGATTGTGATTTTACCGTACTCTTAAACAAGCTTCGCTTTGACTATAAGCATTATGTTATTGTCGTCCATAATCGACAAGCGAAATCTGAGCTCTTACAGACAGCTAATGAAGCTCATCCTTGGGCAAAATTCACTGAGAACTCCTGTGAAAGACCAAATGTGCCGAAGGTGTTTACTAATTCAAATATGGGAAGCAAAATCACAAGAACTTCCAATTCCCATAATCGCAATGAGTCACCAAAATGTCGGAGCTTGATGGATTTGAAGGTCCTTCCCCATGCTGGTGGTAAAGCATCAGAATTGGTTTTAAGTGATGCGCATGATTTAAATGATACTCATCGGTCCACCCTACAAAATCAACTAAACGCTTCCGAGAAAGCCAAAGTCGCGAAGAGTCGCAACCCGAAAAAATGTGATCGACCAAAAAAAGAGTGGTATGTGCTGAAAAACGTTAATAACAAATTTTGAATATTATACTATAATTAAATATCACTAATTTTTGGCGAAAAGTTGTTTAGAGTTCTAAATTATCATTGATAGAAACGACACGTGAGATTTTAATGTATGTGATTAGATTTAGCAGGAACTGACTGATCTTCCCCCCATTCTCCATAGTGACAGTCAGAGCCCCACCTCTTGTCGTGTATTTTTGTAATCAGTGAAATTTTCTCGATACATACACCCATATTTTTTGTAACAGAGTTCATGGATCGGTTTTGACTTAATGGTAGCTTCAGCTAAAAATATGTTTCAAAAATATCGAAGCCTTCTACCCATATGTGAAGCAATGTTTAAGTTTCTTATCTCAGCAACGTTGGATGTTTTGGAAAATTTTTCTATAAAAATGACTAGAAATATCTGAAACGTTCGTTTCTTTTCTCTTGAGTAGTACCCATAAAGTAGTGTCGAAAACCTTGGAACTCATTGCAAACTGAAAACTGAAAATTCAATCAAATTAAAATCAGATGAGCTATGCACTATTTATGCAAGATTACAGAGTAGCATCGGCCATGTTATGCAAAAAAAAGACTCCCATCTTCGTTTAATGTCGGAGTATATCATCATTAACATTAAAATGGTATAATGAACCCTATAGAGAGTATATACTAATTTGTCATTTGAAGGTCACCATAAAATTCACTACATCTGATAGCATAGTTCGTCTAAAGTGGTTGAAATTTCGATTCATTTCAGCCCTGGTGTTCAACCTCCGGGACCACTACTGTCATCTGCACGTGACTTAACCAAAAATGGTGACTTACTTTGCTTTCTCGAATGTGACAAGAAATTTCCCACCAATGCAGCTCGAGTTCAACATCAGCAAAGCAAGCACAAAATCGGTGAACTGATACAATTATCTTCTTCGATGTCAATAAATAACTTGAGTGGCCAGCGTCAATTAAGTGCCGACGGTGGTCGATCTGAAAATGATCTCATCGCATTTGATGATGGTGATGGTTATGGCTTGTCACAAGCGAGTTCACTGTCGGCAACAAAGGAAACTATTAGCCTTATATACTTGGAGGACGATAGCAACAACGCCGATAGAGGAGAGTGGGAAAATTTGAGTGCTAGGGACAAAGATGATGATGATGATGTGGACGATATGAATGACAGTGAGAATGGAGACGAAGATGTAGGTGTGTTAAGCACCCCATCGCAAAATTTAGATTCAAACTAGACGATACATTTTGTCCTTGTTTCAAGAACTCATATGGTATCTCCATAATCTAGAACTACAAAATTTTGACTCAATAAAACATTAATCAAGTCATGAAATCCTCCAGCTGTGAATCCGAAAGTCTCGACTTTTTCTTCTATATATTTCACTGAAGTGTGAGTATGGTGTGTGCTAAGAAAATCGATTCCGTCGCATTCATACCTCATACTCATACTGGCTTCAATGTGTACAGTCTTTTTGAGTTCTTGACTGTACTATGCCAATATATGAGCTAAATTAGAGAAAACGGGACATCCATCCATTCATTCTATTCGAATACAATTGTCTAACAGTAATGATAGCCTTTTTGATAGAATTACTTTTGCATAGAGTGTGGGTATGAGTGTATGAACTTGAACATAGGTGAAATTGTGAATGACGTTACTCTCTATATTTATACTGACACCTACCGTATTCTAACAGTCACATTTGCTTTTGGTTAACCACTACTTAAGATACTCATCAATATGAAATAATATTTGTTTAGATTAATGATAATGTCATAATAGTCAGTGACTTTTTCTCTCGTCTCTTTCTCTGCATATGTTTGGGTAGTGTTTTTAGGGCACAAAAAACAATCATGCGTTTTATATTGAGAGGCTCTGTCATTTTGTGTTTCACAATAAGTTTCCTATTTGTTTTGCCTGGTGTTAATTGTAATGTAGGCGGAATAGTTCAAAATGATTGGGAGTCACTACGTGCTTTATTTGAACAAAATTTCCAAAATAACGTCGATTTAGGTGCGTCTTTAGCTGTTTACCATCGAGGAAAGCTGGTTGTAAATTTATGGGGTGGATGGTTTGATAAACAGAAAACGAAACCCTATGATAACGATACATTACAACTGGTATTTTCAACACCAAAAGGTCTTGTAGCGATGACTATCGCTCTTTGTGTCCAACGTGGCTTATTGAACTATACTGATAAGGTTATAAAGTATTGGCCAGAGTACGGCCAGAGTGACAAGGAAAATACAACAGTAGCCGACGTCATGTCACATAGAGCTGGACTGCCAGCATTACGAAATAGTAATTTGTCCACTCACGAATATTTAGATTGGTATTCAGTGATTCATAAATTGGAGAAGCAAAACCCATATTGGGTACCGGGTACGCAGCATGGTTATCACGCATATACTTATGGATGGCTAGCGGGAGAACTTGTTCGACGTGTTGGTATAAAAAAAAGGAACTTTAGGACAATTCATCAGAGATGAAATTGCAAAACCGACGCAAAGTGAATTTTATATTGGACTGCCTGAAAACTACGAGAATCGTGTGTCCCCAATTGTGACAAAAGTCATAGAAAAGCAAATGTTCAATGTGACAACTAATTCATTATTTCAACAAACACTACTACCATTCTCAGAATTAGATAGCTTTAATGATCCAATAGTACACCAAGCTGAGATATCAGCAGCAAATGGAATAACAAATGCTAAATCGATAGCTCGACTTTATGCATCGTTAATAGGCGACTTAGATGTTACAAAAAGATTATTAAATACGAAAATTTTAAAACAGGCAACGAAATCAAATACACCTGAAAATGAACCAGATCAAGTTTTAATGCAAATATCAACCATATTCGGAATGGGTTTCATGACCTATGGCTCTGTGTTTAACATAATGGGACCAGGAACTTTTGGTCACAATGGTAAGTTCAACAATTATTTGCCCTTTGAAAGTACTAGCTCACACATATATTAAATACTTAAAAAGACGAACGCAGACGCTCATTAAAGTATTGTATCCTCACGAAAGTCATAGAATCATAATCATCGCTTAAAAATTCAAATGAAGTACGAAATCGCTCGATCTCGACGAAAACAAACATGTCATATCAGTGAATCGTTCAGAGTTTTTTTTTTATCATGGTAGGAGAAAAGAAAATCAATCTGAATTTATTGAAAGTTTTGAATATGTTTAATTACTTGCTGCGAATGTATTTAGGTCTTGGTGGCAGTATAGGTTTTGCTTCTCCATCGCTCAATCTCTCATTTGCCTATGTTACGAATCTGCTCGATCTCGAATCTTCAACGACCGTCGATCCACGAATTCAGTCAATCATGGACAAAATTACTTTCATTCTTAAACATTTAAATACAACTCTCTGATGGCATTTGGTTCCGCTATCAAAAGCTTTAACTGAAAGACAATTTGCTTGAAAATATTACTAGTCTTGAATGTACCACAGTAACATCTACAACCAAATAAAATTGAACGAATTATTAAGGACTTTTTGGATCACAACTTGATGAAAAATCTTTTTTTAATTTTGTTTTTGTTTTGAACATAGGTACCAGTGATAGAGGAACACAAATACCAATACTCACATCTTGTGATCATAATATTCTCTTTCGTCATTCAAGCCAACTGACGAGACTCTTCACTCACTTACAACCTTGACAAGAATTGCGCAAACACGTTGTCATACATGCAGTAGTAGGAAAGAAAAAATCGTGACAATAAAGCACCTGTTTTAATATTGCTTTTCGTCATTTTGTTTTGAAGAGAAAGATAAAAATGATTCTATAGAGCATTTATTGGTCGTGCTGTGATGTCACTCCTATTTTGTCACAAGCATCCAAAGCAAGTATTTATACGTTTACTAAATTCAGCTCTCGTTTTCAATAAAATCACAAAACTCTTAGCATACGAATTATTGATCCGAATATGAGTTCATCCTAGTCAGTTGTGCAGCAACGTATAACCATACTGAAAATAACTTCCGGACCAAAATTAATCCCTTCTATTCTTTGATGTCTGTGAATAGTTTTAATCTGTCAGATAGTATTTCCGGGTCCTTATTCGGGTTATTATTATGTGACTCGCTGGAAGCTGCTGTAGAAGGTCAGTCTCCTGAATCGTTTGATCAAGCGAAAACATTACGAGGAGGTGGTAAACTTCAGTTAAAGTCCGGACAATTTACTGATGATGGCTCAACGGCATTATGTTTAGCTATCGCTTTGTTAGGTAGTGAAACTGATAATGCGGTTATTCATCCATCAACTGTACAAATGAATTTATATCGACGTTGGTATGAATCTGGATATTTATCTTCAACAGGAGAATGCTTCGACATAGGTATGACTGCGAGCTGCTCTAAACAGATTTGTTTCTCATTATGATCAAGCTAAAAGTGATAAATTAAGTAGCGCTGATGCTTCTTACTATGGAAGTGCAAGCAGTCATGCATCAGGCAATGGTTCATTAATGCGATTAGCATCTGCTCCTCTGTTATATCAGCGTGATCCTCTTAATGCTATGAATGAATCAATAAATTCATCCGAGACTATGCATGCTTGGCAACTATGTCTAGATAGTTGTAGAGTATATACGGGTTTAATTATTGGCGCTTTGCAAGGAGCTACTAAAGAAGAACTATTGAATAGTGATCAATTATATGTTCCAGCTGGTTTATCGCATGATTACTGAACGACAAAAACAGCCTCACCACTTGAGCTACCTGTTTTAGCAGTAGTGACTGGTTAATACAAACATCGCAATCCACCTGAGATCAAAGCTTCAGGCTTTGTTATCGAAACAATGGAAGCAGCATTATGGGCATTTTATCACACAAATTCATTTGAAGAGGGCGCACTGAAAGCATTAAATTTAGGCAATGATGCTGATACAGTTGGAGCAGTTTATGGTATGCTAGCAGGAGCTTATTACGGAATTAATGCTATACCCATCGAATGGAGAGAGAAATGTAGTTACCAAGGCCTGGTGCAAACAATAGCAGATGAAATACTAACGCAGTCACAGCAGCTAGCAGAGACTGGCGAGAAGAAAGTAGCTCCATCGAATCAAACATCACTCCAATATAGAAGTGTACTGAAAGTGTAAAATGAACTGGCTGCATTTTATTCAGGAACGATTAAACGTCGTGTGTTACCATGTCCTAAGCAGTATAAATCTAGCCAATAGTTTGATGAGGACATCATGCAATTTCACTCAATTTATGACAATATTCTGAATTCAATTAAACAGCTTGAAGAATGGGAAGAAACTACTACTAACGATGAAAAACAACTAGTTTTAAGTCGTTCTGATTGAATTCTAAAACAATTTTTAAGTCTGATTGAGGAAGATCAGCATTCATTAACTATTAAATGGTCAAGAAATTCCAACCACTCTCAAGTTCATAAACATTTTGCCGCTAGTACTTGCTCATAGCTGGTGCACTGGCATTTCATTTCTTGAAATTATCTTCGAAGGAATTGCGAAATCTTCATAATATTCACAATTTTAGAAACTCTCATAAAGTGTATCTGAAAAGGAGAGTTATTTTTCCATGTAAGAAATTGTAAATAAAAGCAGAAAAGTGAAAAACAAAAACACTGGCCTACTGGCATTAACAGGCAAAGAGTCTTTAGTGAAAGTTTGACCATAATTATCTTCTTCTTTCTCTCTTTATGCATCTACATCAGCGTTTAGAATTGTAGATTCAATTCAAGCTATGAATTTTTACCTATTTACGGTTCATTCAATGTGCATGAATAATTGAACTGAAATTAGTAACTGGTTTATTGTAATGTCATGGTAGGTTGGTAAGAACAAGAAACGCTATGGATCATGAATGATAAATGTGATTCGTGTGTGAAATATTCAGTTAACGCAAAGGAACTTCTGAGAAAGAGTATTTGATCACAAATAAAACTGAATACATGTTTACTTTTGATTTTATCTATCTGAAATATGTACCAATCCATGCTTTAGACGGAATTACAAATCCCCATTAAGATTCGTGATTATCTTTGAACTTTCATGATGAGAAAGTTTAAAAACAGGAAAAAATTAATAGGCGATACGTGTACATTGTGAACATAATACTATTCAATGTCTACTATGACAAGGATCAGATATTGTTATATGTTGTAGAGATAAAAGCAAAATATTACTAAAATTGCATAAACTAGAATTAGGGAATTATCATGAATTACCGATACTACACCAATTAACTGTATTTCAATCAATATTGAAGGACTTTTATTCTTCATTCTTTTTGTTTCTATAGCCTGGCAGATTTCTACGAGCCTATATTTCTACATGCTGCTCGTAAAACAACGTTTATAAATGGAATCAATGTGATTCCAAAATTAGAAAACTATGTAGCTGACGGTCGTTTGAAATCTTCGACAATATTGATTACAATCGATGTTACTGATTTACCAGATAGAAGATTAAGCTCTCTCTCTCTCTCTATTGATCATATTATTAGAATTGATTCGTTTAATATTGGATATTAATCGTTTTGCTTATAACAATAGATATTATCGACAAATACGTGATGAAGCGATTTATTCAACCTTTACACAGGTGTTAGCTAATATCCATATGTATGAGGAAGACAAGATTTAATGCAACACCTAGCATCAAAACCTGAAATCTAACTTCAGCTTTTCGAAACTATTTATTCTCATTCTTTTCAATTTGTGGAAGGTGTTTACCGTTGATTAAACCACGTTTAATAACGAGAATTTTGTTGAAAACTGGGGTTTGAGTGTCTTGTAGATAAATCCAACCACCACACCCATAATCTTAGGTTGAATGGTTGCTATCGACGAAATATAATGTTAAATTGCGTTTTCTTCCATCATTACGTGACAGACCCGTTTGCAGTGTTTTTAATTGATGGAGAGTAGTTTTTCTTTTCGTTTCTATGCGTAGTTTTATGGTCACCTACTTCAGGCGAATTTTTCTTCTTTTCTACTTGATTATATTAAGTGCAGTTAAAATACATTTTTTGTCGCCACAACATAGTGCTGTTTTATACGTATAGAGGACACATGGGAAGATCATGTTGGTGATCTGAAAGTTGTGGCATACATAGATCTTACTGAGTGGTTACTGTGGCTTAAAACTCAGCTATCTGTTGAGTAAGAAACCTTTAAAAACGCGATTTTTATAGCGCCATAACCCAGCAGAATTGCTAGCGGAACTATATCCATGTTTACTAGCACGAAATTGCTCCAACCAGTGATATTTTGGTACTATTTAATTCAAAAACAACGCCGATAAAGAGCCTGTCGATCTATGATTTCGCACTTCTTTAGAATCTCATAGCTATTGTATTGAAGTTAAAAATGCTTGATGGTCACTATCTGATATTCGATTGTTCGGTTCCCTTGACAGCATCGCTATGGGTAACACTTCCATTTTCTTGGCTTGCTCCTCTCATTCTTCGAGGTTTTCACTCTCCAGACTAACATTAACGTTCCTGTACTGTATTTAATTGATCTGATATTATGAAATTGAAACGAAATAAGAAAAATAATCGATACATCATAAAAAATACATAGTAGATAAAGTAGCATGGGGTTTGAGATTCAAATATTTACATTTGCTTGCTCATATTGTCTTATTAAATATATATAAAAGCGTAGTGTCGTTGAAAATAAATTCCATAGTATAATATAATGAATATCTATGTTGCTATAATTTTTTGTTTTCGCTCTTTCTCTGAAATCTTACTTTGAACAGACGCGCAGACACTAGCTATTGAAATGCAATAAATGTACTTTTCAAGACAGAATGCGTTGACAGTTGTTGAATAGCTCCAAAACGGAACCACTTAAGAGCACTGTTTTTGCTCGGTTCAGATAACGTTTCCAACTATCCCGAATCTTTAAACAGTATTTATTTGCTTCTCCAGATAGATCGAAAAACGACAGATAAAGTCTTACTTCCAGAAAATGATCACGACTCATTGATTTGCAAGTGATTGAGTTAGAATTTTCAACATCAACAGATAAGACGTATCTGTGTACGAAGAAGATTTTAAAATGTGACACTTGATTTTTCTTCTGGCAAGAAAGACTGAGAAAATCTCTGAAGTTAAGTGTAGTGTGATATAGCAGTATGCGAGTATGGGGGAAAGTTGTCAAAGGCTGAAAGAAGTAAATATGAAGCATCAATAGTAGTATAATGTAACTTAAATTCAAGAAAAAATAATGAATACAGAAAGATCCTGTAGAGCTGCTGACATCGAAATCTTTAATTCGAGCTTTATTTTGCTGAAACATTCACGCAGTTTAAACATATTCTAATTCATTTCTAGATTATATAACAGTTTTACTGTGTCGCTTTAATCTATCAACCAAAATTCATACAAGGGATGTGGTCGGAACGAGACCAGACGTTCAAGCCTGAGCAGCCTCAGTCTTATAAGTTTGATTTCAATATTGATCAAGTCAATGAAATGAATAATGAAACTACGACTGATGCTGGAGTGATACCACTACATGATGATATATAACAACAGAGTTTAACTCCAGATCAATTGCAACAGTTATTCTCTCGAGTTAGTTCTGAATTAGTTGCAGAATTTACGGATGGCCAAGAGTTTTTTAAACGCGAAGCTACAATCTAAGTACCAAAAACAAGTAGAATAATACAAACACCATTTCCACCTCCTCCATCAGATCGTCAAGAAGATTTCGACATTCATATTGAACATTTGAAACAGTTAGCTAAAAAAGAAGTAAGTTCACTGGTCATTGAAAGACATTCTACTAATGAAAACGAAGTTGATAATGTACTATCAACTATTACATTAACATTTAATCAATCAATGACAAGTGTTTCTTCATTAGATTAACAAATGAAAGCTGAAGCTCTAGGAATATCATTAACACCAAACGTAGAAGGTAGATGGAGATGGATAGGAACGCAAACAGTTCAAGTTGAAGCAAAATATCGTCTACCATATTCAACAAAGTACACATTAAGAGTCCACAAAGAACATTGCATGTCAGTAATCGGAGGCACATCTATCTGAAACTATAGAAGTTACATAGAAGACAACTGTTTGTTCACTAAATAAATAAATTATATACCTCCTCCTTTTTTTCAGAAAAACATTTTCATTCAAGCCTCGAAAAGCCAACATATCACTTTTAAATATCTCGCAAAGGAGATCATAGCTCTCAAAATAAATCATAATAAACTAAGATATGATCTGAAGTAACCAGTGACGAACAAAGAATTATAGTGTTTGTATTTTGAGTATTTCTCTTCTACTATCGATTCGATTGAGGCATCTTCTTTGTATTAAATGATGTAAGCTAAAATTCTCTATAAAATCACATATTGTCAGGATTAAAAATGAAAATGTTCATGATTTAGTCAGAGTAGTTTCCTTACCGACAATTAACTTAGGGATTAACATGATCAGCGACACCGTTTCTTTTGATCTGCATCAATCACCCGACCGTCCACACGTAGCTCGAACAACAGTGGTTGTCAACAAGAATATCATGGTTGTTTCCCATACAAGAAAATAAAACAGCCAAAAATTGTTTGTTCTTTAAAAAAGAAAAGTAGAAAGTTACATTTAAAAATTGGATATTAAGTTAGTACACCAAAGAAAAATACTTTAGTTTAAATAGTACACGAATAATTTGTAGAGCAGATTCTGGATGTTTCAGCAAGATGAAAGGGTAGCTGTTTTCAGTAAAAACAAGTAGAACAAGCAAAAATGTTCACTTTGCTGGACTAAGGAGCTCCTACTGTTATTCTTAGAGCTATTTCATTTTCGCGTGTTCAGTAGTTTGAAGCGTTTAGAAATGGAACATATCGACTTTCCAATTAATTTTAATTAAAGTACAAAGTTGTCTTCTTCTTTTTCAAGGTTCAATTTTCTGTGTTAATGCTGCCAGTATCTAATTTTTTTAAATATTCACCCAAACGCCATGTTAATATCGAGATACAGATTTTGATTTGCGTCTATTCTACATTCATTTTTGATATTTTGATTGCGTTTAGGAAAGTTAGAAGATGAATTTTTCTTCGAATTTTCAACAACAACACCAACAGTTCTCGAGTTCTTACCAACTGGAGAAGTTTCAACATTAAAACCTACATTTTTTCTGTTATTTGATCAAAAAATTGATAAAAGTGAAATTTTCAAGCATTTATGCGTAGTGAGTGGTAATGAACATAAAATGTCAACAAAGAAATTAAAACTAGTAGATGAAACAACAGCAAAAAGTGAATTCAAATTGTTCATCAATGAAAAAGAAGAAAATCATGAGCCATATATTGCATTTACATTCAAAGATGATTTATTAAAAGCAACACAATATACAATTCAAGTACCTACAGGTTGTCCATCAGCCGAGGGACCACTGATGACAACATAAGAGTGGTCGGGTAGTTTCAATACTTGTGAACATTCAAAAATAATTGATTGGTTTCCAAAATACAAACGATGAATGGCGAAATACTGCTATTTCTGGTCGAAATTGGTCACTTATATTTAATAATTCTTTAGATCATTCAACAATTAAAAAATCCTTATTCAGATTCGAGCCAGAAGTCAGTGGTCTAGGCGAGCATAGACGAGACTCGTTTCACAACATATTTTCTCATTAGTTTGTGTTAAAAATCAATCTTAAATAAAAAAAACTTCTTTTAGGTATTGAACATACACAAGATAATGATCGAAAAATATTCATGGTAAACATTACAATATGATCATTCCGATCAACCAATTCAATTTAGTACAAAAAAAAGATGGATATTGTCAATAAAAGAGATGTTTATGTTAGGTATGATCATAATGGATCATGTTCTATTAAATGAACCGTGCTACACATTTATAGTGTGTAACTATTCAGAATTAATACTTCGCATTAATCGAGTGAAACCAGAACATTATCGGGAAGATTTACTATATTTCAATCGACGTTATCGCAGCGATGAAGAACAAGAGCAAGATAATAAATTACCTGATGAAGAATTATTAAATGAAATTATACAAACAAACTGTCAATTGAATGAACCAAGAGATATAAGAGTTCCTTTGAAGGCATATTTTACGAAATCATCTGGAGTAGGCCAACTATTTATATTAATTGAATCAACCGAAAAGGCACGCGCTGAATTTTGAAATGAGCATTGGAATGATAGACCAACTATATCAATCTGGCTACAATGTACACGATTAGCAGTTGATGTGTTTCCTCTTCAGGTAATTGTATTTTGAAAGAATAATAGAAATTACCAGACATGCATATCCATTCTAATGATTAAAACCATTTACTGAATATCGTTTCGAGCTGAAGCAGCACTATACCTGCTAAACTGGTGTTGCTTCAATTCTAATTCGATTGGGCTGTGCCTCCTTTTTCATAAGATACGCCATCTCAAGCTCTAAGAAACTGGATATTTCGATCTGAAATTAATTATACACTTGACGTTTCATATAATGAAAAGTAAAGATCTCCATAAGATAGTACCATATGAGATACGTCGATCTGTTTCTATTCAATTAAGAAGTATAGCGAGGAATAATCAAAACATTCAAAAGGTACAACTAATTGTTTGCATCGAATACATTCGATGAAACTCGATATCTCTGAAAGAAATGTTCGCAGAATATTAAAAATGATATTGCTAAAATGCTGAGAAGATTATTTATTCTCCAACGTCCATTATTTCTCGTAGATTAAGTAAAACAAGGATGAAAATAACAGCATCTATATCATGTTTAACGCTTTAGTCTTGCATAAATTACACTAACAACTGTTTATTCTAGATCCGAATTGTACATTAACTACATGGGCTACTGATCTAATGACTGGTGCACCTATCAATCAAGCAACTGTTTCAATATTGAATCAGAAAAAAGAAACAGATCAACAAGGATTATGTACCGTTAAAAGATATAGACTAGGAAATGTTCCAGAAACAAAAGAAGACACAAAAATGAAATATTAGTCGTAGAAAAAGGTGACGATCTATGTATGCGCGTAAATATTCATTCTTATAGATCAACTGATGACGCTTACATTTGGTATGTATTCAATGATCGTGGTTTATATAGACCAAAGGAAGAAGTGCATATAAAAGGTTATGCTCGATTAATGAAAATAGAAGGTGAAGAAAAAAATTCCTACTTATGCTTAAGGTGTAATTGATTATATAATCTATGGTTCTTACAGTGAACAACTTCAACAGTCAAAAGTAGAATTGAATAATTATGGAGCATTTGATATCCATTTTACATTACCTGACAATGTTAACTTAGGTAAAGTTGAATGTCCTTGCAAAACTTGTTCAGAAAAGCCTCATAGCTTTTGTTTTAAGTGTGGTTGTAGGTGTAGGCTTGGGTGATTGCTGCTGCCAATGTTTATGTATTCCCTTAGCTCACACCAACACCTACATCCTGATAGATCAAAGAAGAATTAATTGATTTTGAGTTCCCATTATTTTTAGGTAACGGATACGCCAGATTCACTTTACTCGATTCAAACAGTAATACAAAACATTATTTTCAAATTCAAGAGTTTCGAAACCGGAGTATGTAGTCTCATCAATGATTCAATCACCGCTAGCATATTATTGCTATCCAACTGTTGACCAATACTCTATAGCTGGCTGTGAAGGAAAACTATTTGTTGGTGGTTGTTTAAATGGTGCATATGTCCGATGGACAGTACAAGCTGCAACAACAATATTTACACCAGCTAATCAATACGGCTATATGTTTGGCAGAGCTCGATCGTTCTGTTACTATTCTAGATATGATAGAAAAACCAAAATATTATATCCAAAAAAGTACTTTCAGGGTAAAACAAATAGTAAAAGCTAACATGAAATAAAAATTACTTATCATGGTATTGAGCAAGAACCAAAACCAATCATTGTTCATACATTAGCAACCATTACTGATCTGAATTATCAAGCACAAGAAACAAAAGCAAATTTTCTCATACATCCATGTGCATATTATGTTGGATTTCAATTCGTATAGAATTATGGAAAGAAAGATGAACCTGTACAAACAAAAGTCATCGTAACAGATATTGATGGAAATTTAATTGATAATATTTTGGTTCGATGCGACGTCATTGGATATGGTAGCGAAATAAAAGAAGATCAAAATGGTTTAACAATATTTGAAGAAATAAAAGATGAACAAACATTAACAATAGTTAGTTCAAATAAAGGCGCGGTTAATATTGCTTATACACCAAAATTAGTTAAAGGTTTAAATTTTTAAGAAGAAAAAATCAAGTTACCGATCATCAGAATAAGATTTTGTGCAATAAAGCCTTTTGATTCAGCTCGAAAGTGGTACTTTAATGAATGTTTCTGAACTCGATGAAAACAGAAAGGACAAGTAATGAATGCATAGTTTTAATTCGAGAACTTTAGAGAAATTTTTACCATCATTTTCATATGAGTACCCATGTAAAACTAAGCAATCCTATTTCATGTTGTTAATATGTAAACATTCGATTATCCTCATCGATTAGTCCATTTGTAAATTCTTTGAGTGTGTAAGTTCATAATGGAGATCTCCATGAGATTCATCATCAAGCCATGCTCTTTAAAAAGTTATTGATGAAAGACTGAGATATGATTTCGACGAATTCACACCAAACCACCTTAAGTCATTACAGACCTTGTAGAAGGTTAGAGGGAACTCATATATCTCGGACATGATATTTACATCTGTACTATAATATCGATAAAATATTGCAAGTATGTTATGTCGATGAATGTTACTTGTTAATAAAACAAATTTCGCGTTAGTCACTTAATCACTAAATATTAAGTGTTAATGCAGTCTTTTATTTCTAAAATTAAGTGATTAAGTGGTTGATATGAAGAGTATTCAATTTAATTTTGATTTAATATCTGACAGTTTCAGTTCAACAGCGAGCGAGAATTTCATCGAGAACTCTTTTCATAGTGCTTTTTGTAGCTTTCTAAGGAAGTTTTCTGCAATTTTATAACAAACATGAAGAAGAGTTCCTGAGAATGTTTTAAATGTATGCATATAGCAATGTGAATACCAATAGTGTTGTAGATCTCACATCCTTCATTGTAGGTATTTACCTATTGAGACAAGTGAGCAGCTCCTCTTCTATTATTCCCACAATGTATAGAAATCTGCAAGCTAAATGTTTTTGTTTGTAATCGTTTCTTCTAAATACCTTCTCTCACAAGCAGACAAAATAGAATAAATTCGGTATGCACTTTCGTTTTTTTAACCTTTTAATTTCAGTTGAATCTCAGAAGCAAAGTTATAGATAAACTGTTTGGCTTATCTTTATTGATCTCTTTACTCAACAATGAGTGACAATAAAAAGTCAGTTTTCGTGCAATAAAAGTAAATGTAATAAAAACTTCTAGTACTTGAAAAAAGAGATGAAATAAAGAAAAGAAGCTTTTTCTAACGAAAAAGAAGTACTTTGTTTTGAAGAGATGGCTGAAAATATTTTCTTTTGACATTTTCATTTTTCAATAACCGCGAATGTTCGGATAGGTAGGCGAAAACGTGGACTTATTTGTGGGTACATATCTATAGCGTGGTGATTCAGATCTTAGTGTGGGTATGGGATGGATATGGGTAAGTTGCTGAATCGGGTGTGAGTAGAGATGTGTCGTTGGATCTCAAGTTCAAATACGTTCACACCCAAGGGGGGAAAAGCGGATCCTGATGGAATCTGTTGCTTCCAATAAAGGGCATTAGATTGCACAATAGATTGACTCTAGTGTACGGAAATCTATGAGAAGCTACTTCAATCTACTAAATACGTCGGAGTCTGCCACAATGCACCAAAAACTGACTCGCTTTACAGCAATCTTCAAACAACGTAAAAATGGATCCTGCTGGATTAGGGGTGTGCAGCTCACGGTCATGAGTGCTGATAAGCGTGAGCGTTTCTTCTCCAAATAGAATATGCAAGAAATCAGTATTAATGAACCCACTTTAGCTATATTCATATAAAAATCCATTATAGTATTTCATACAGTTTCTTATCTGATATATTCAATCGATGCATCTAAATACTTGTTACTCGATGAATTGACAATAAGCGTTCGAATAGGCTCATTTAAGTTTGGAAAATCATAGTTTTCCGCATATTTGTTTCTTAAACTCGTTCATTTTACCACCGCAAATTACCAAGGAACAAAGCTAGGATCTTATTATATATGTCTAGTAAGGGTAGCACGTTACTATTACCGGTAATAAGTAATAACTGTTATTTCGAATTAATAATACTAACTAAAAGCCAGGAAAATTAATAAAGTAATAAGGAAGAAATAAAGTAATAAAGAACTTGATGGTGGAATTATTTCTATTTATCGATATATTTCTATTTTCTCATCACTAGGACTACAACAGCTCTCAGATGGTAGTTCAGATCAAATGAACGAAAAAAGTACTGAAACAGTTCTATTCATTGAATTGTCCGTAATCGCTAGATTACTTGCATTCAATCACTAGTATTATTTGGGCCGTAATAAGGGTAACCCCTTCGAGCCCTCAGGTCCTATCTAGATGTGATTCCTGTGACTTTTACATCCTATCTGGAGGTGGTCCCGTAAATTTTGTGGATTTACACTGGAATGGTTTCTTTAGCCATTTGCGATCTATTTAAGGGTTGCCCTTATGAATTTTTCGGGTCCGCTAAGGATAGTACTTCAAGTTTGAAGATATCACTGCTGGACAGAGTGACACGTTAAAGGGACGATGCTCATATTGGGTTTGAAAAAGTTATAGAAACTACCAATAGTTACGAATAGGGTTATGCCCAGACCGAGACTTTCCATCTCCATCTCAGTCGTCGTGGTCGAGGTTTTGATCTCGCTCTCTCCCTCTTGTTCGCGGTTAGCCTCGGCTTCAGTATTAATGAGTGTTGGTCTCGGTTCATCCCTAGTTACGACTGAATAAGTTATAAGAATTCCCTCCCACATTGCGCAAAAGGATACAAGGGATGCCACTATATATGTACTAAAATGTTGCACAGATCAGCCCTACTCAGTCAGACCAGTAACGAAAAAAATCGACATTTTTATGCGTTAAAAGCACACATTTTAACGCGTTAAAAAAATACTGTTTTGTGAGAAAAAAAATGAATCAATGCATGTGAATGCTTTTAAACTTGTTTTTAGTCAAAATAAAATTTTTTAAAACGCGTTAGAATGTGAGCTTTTTACACAAAAAAACGTCGACTTTTTTCGTTACTTGTCTGACTGGGTAGGAAGTTCTCGCATAGTTCTAATTACCATCCTGGGGTAGGGCCAGAAAGGAACAGAATCACCCATTGATAGTTTTTTGAAAGTTCTAGGTATCATCTGTAAGTAGATCCAAAATAGCTAAAGGGACCAACCATGGGTAGGTACTAAAACTTCTGACTACTCCTTCTGACTGAGTCCTTAGAATTTCTAAGTACCACCATTAGCCAGGCTCAAAACACTTCTAAGTATTACCGTTATGTGATTCTTAAAAGGTTCTGAGTATCACCTATAGGTAGGCTCCTAATAGCCATAGGGATCAGTTTTGGTCTGATCGTAGAAGCTTCTAATACGATCTCCCGGTAGGTTACAAGTAGCAATACGAAATCCTCCTGGATAGATACGAAAAAATTCTAAGTGATATCTTTGGGTCGGTATTTATTACGGTAATAATTATTACACGTTATTACTTATCAGTTGTTGCTTTAATTAGTTTCCATTTTTTGAACTTTACTACTCTTAATAAATAATAAAAGTAATAATAATTAGGGATACACCGCTTACACTCATGAGCGTAAGCTCTACACTCGGATGTTGCATCGTACTTGATTTTTAAGTATCGAAAAATTCATTGGAACCTAGCAGAATTCATGGGAATTGACTAACTTGTCAATCTTCTTAGTTCACTCATGCTTCCTACTCGAAAATCCTACGACCAATTCGTCTCTTTTCCGATCAGAATTTTTGGATCCTATTGGATCCTGATGGATCCGCTTTTTCCCCTTTGCTCACACCCTACTCTGGGGCTACTCGTATTCCATTCAATAAAATCTGACACTTTTCTCATATATGAGTGTTCACAGATGAAAAGTGTTAGCCGATTAACTGCATTTTCAGAAATCATGAGTGCTATTCATCAATACTAACTATTTTACAAACGTCCTCGGCAGCTTCTTGCGATACACGTCATACCTTGAGAGAGTGTGTGCGTGTGCGTATGCGTATGCGTGTGTGTGTGTGTGTATGACTCTTATCTTCATTTACACCTCATATCATGCCTTCAATATCAGTTAGAGATTTAGATCTAATCTACAACAATTTCATACGCGTAATAAAAGTTCCAAGCATATAATATATTTAGGAAAGAAGTTGAATTCTCATGACAATCATTTGCAATGCGAATAGGAATAGGCATTGATTTGGGCACATCGTATTCTTGTGTCGGTGTGTTTCGACATGGAAAAGTTGAAATCATTCCTAATGAAGAAGGAAATCGTATAACACCATCGTATGTTGCATTCACTGACGAGGAAATATTAATTGG